GTACAGGCGGCATGCCCCTCTGAAGATAGAGTAAAATACTCAATGGAGAGTAGCCGACTGTAAAGGTACAGACGACATGCCCCTTTGAAGAGAGTAAAATACTTAATGGAGAGTAGCCGACTGTAAATGTATAGGCGGCCTGCCCCTCTTAAGAATAAAAATTAAACATGGAGAGTAGCCGGCTGTTTGTTAGTAGGCGTGCCCCTCTTAGTACAAAATTGAATATTAAGTATGCAAACTTTTATTAAGTAGCCCTTGACTATTTACATCATTCAAAAGAAATATTTCTTAAGATTATCTACATTCCAAGTTCGAGGCAATGGTTGTCCGTCTGATGTTCCCAGACGGTAGGTACCGTCCCTGACCTCTTCACAGATTCGGTAGGGTCCTTCCTAGTTGGGAGTTAGTTTGCCAGACTCATTAGCCCTACCAACTGCTTCCATTTTTCTAAGTACAAAGTCCCCCACTTTGAGTGGACGCCTGTGTACTTTTTTGTTGTATGATCTAGTCATTCTCAGGCGGTAAATTTCATGGCGAAAGACAGCATTGCCCCTCCTTTCAGGAAGTGAGTCTAATGTCAGGCGCATGGCTTCCCAGTTTGCCTCTTCGTCATATAGCATTACTCAAAGAGTCGGCTCGTAGTGTTCAATTGGAAGAACAGCTTCCGCACCATAAGTTAGGAGGAATGGAGTTTCTCTAGTCGCCCCTTTTTCAGTCGTCCTAATGGCCCAGAGAACATGTGGTAATTCATCCGCCCATAGGCCGCCTGCTCGTTCAATCTTTTTCTTGAGACCGTCTGAGATGATTTTATTAAAGGCTTCTACCTGGCCGTTTTCTTGTGGACGGCCGACAGATGCAAAGTAGTGTGCAATTCCTTAGTTACCCAACCAGCTTTTGAGAACAGGCGTCTCAAATTGGGGACCATTATCAAAAACCATAGACATGGGATACCCGAACCGAGTGATGACATTTTTCCAAATGAATGAAATTACATCCTTCGTCTTGATTCCCTTTACAGCCTCCGCCTCTACCCATTTAGTGAAGTAGTCGACGGCAACAAGCATGTACCTCCTTCCGCCTGTAGCAGGCGTATATGGACCCAGAACATCCATGCCCCACTTAGCAAACGGTAGTGGGCTATGAATGGTAGTGAGGTCAGTAGCCGGACGGTGAATTAGTTTGCCAAACCTTTGGCACTTGTCACATTTTTTCACCATCACCATCGCATCTGCTTCTAAAGTAGGCCAAAAGTAGCCCTGCCGCCTTGCCCGTTGAGCAAGCGTCCTACCGCCTATATGGGAAGCACAGTAACCAGAGTGAAGATCGTCTAGTATCTCTCGTCCCTTTTCTGGAGTAACACACTTTAAGGGTTGAAGGTAACTGGTTGCTCGTTTTTTCAGTGCTGCCGCCTGTTGATGATCATCCGGCAGGGTACCGTTTGTCAGATATGCCCTGATTGGATCCATCCAGGTTAAGCTTCTGTCTAGGATGCCTTTCTCTTCTTGTCGCCTGCTTCTTGAACAGGCGCACTCTCCTTGACATTGTCAAGGTCTATTTTTCCACCACTCGACCTAGTGGCCATAACAGTGGGCTTGACATCCGAGAGATAGCACTCTCGGGCTACCTCTGATCTCCCCTTAGGGACCCGACTGTTCCATTATCCCTCTCAAACTTGAGCAACATAAGAGATGGGATTATAACAGCCTTGGAATTATTCAGGGTTGGTCGTCCCAGAATCATGTTGTAGGCCGAGAGTTCTTTTACTACCTGGAACCGGACTACCATGTGTCGTCCTTCCCCTTTTTCGCCCAGGCGGATGGGTAAATCCACTCGTCCCACTGGGTGGACGACTCCTCCTCCAAACCCTACTAAAGGGTGGGATGCCGGATGTATGCAATCAGTCTGATATTTTAGTGTCGACAGACATTTGCTACTGATGAGATCTGAGGAGCTTCCGGTATCTATGAGGATTCGGCCAACTCTTTGGTTGGCCACTTTACATTCAATAACGATAGGGTCGTCATGCGGCCCTCTTACCCCTCCTAGATCTTCTTCAGTGATGACAATCTCAGGAAATGAATATTTGGAGGGGCGTTCTTGGTGAACGGAATTTACATCTAACCGCCTGATATTGTCTTTATTGCCCCTAATAGTGGGGCCGCCTCCTGAGAAGCCGCCTGCAATGGTGTAGACGACTGTAGCATCTGTATCGGAGCTGTCGGCCTGTTGATTCTTTTTGGTCGACTGCTTTTTTGAGGAAGTGTTCCCCGTAGATTTCTTGACATAAGTGTCAAGATCACCTTGCTCAGCCAGGCGGTCCAGATACCGCATGAGACTGATGCATTCATTGGTGTGATGACCAACATCTTCATGATAAGCACAGAATTTTTCTTGGTTCCGGTTGTTTGCAGAACCCTTCATGGGGACCGACTTCTCAATTGAGATCCGTCCCTTGATTTCCTTTAGGATAAACTGGCTATCCTTGTTAAACGCATACTTTGGGGAGTATGGTTTGAATTCTTTTTTCTTTTTCTGGGCCGGCTGTTTAGAGGAATCAGCCGTCCAGACCTCTTTTCTCTTCTCGTCTTTGTTTGACGACTGTTTCTGTCGTCCTTCTCTTTTGTCGGACCTTTTCTCGTCCGACTGTTTTACCGTACCACAAAGATCAGTCGCCTGTATATAGGCTTCCGCTTCAATCAAGGCCTCTTGAAGAGTCGCCACCCTCTTTCGGACCAAATCAAATTTGAAGGTCGACCCGTCTTTGAGACCTCTGAAAAAGTCAGTATAGACTACATCATCCGGTAACCCTTGAATCTGTATTCTCATCAGGTTAAACCGCCTGATGTAAGAACGAAGCCCCTCCTTCTCGCCCTGCTGAATTGTTCCTAAATCAAGGGTCGTCTTCTTCGCAGGGATGTTCATGGCGAAGTTGGAGGTGAATAAGTAAGCAAGCATCTTGAAGTTATTTACACAACCAGTCGGCAGGTTGCCGAACCATTGTTGTGCGATTCCTTTGAGAGTCGCTGGGAAACACTTGCACCAGTGGGATCATCCAACCCTTGAAGGTACATCAGGTTGGTGAATGCCATCAGATGGTCTTCTGGGTTAGTAGTGCCGTCATAGGCGCCTACTAATACATTTTTCACTTTGGCCGGCTGAGCGGCTTCAGTAATTTCCTTGGAGAAGGCCGACGGCTGTTCACCAAGTCTAAGCAACCGTAGTTGCCAGTCCATAGGTTGGACATTTTTTGCTGCATGTCCACCAAACGGAGGTGGCTGTAAAAAATACTGTTGTTGCGGTACAAACGGTAAGTTTGGTACCGCCTGGTCGCTATGATAGCCGGACTGATGGGAGGTGCCGCCTGACTGACTCTCATGATACAACTGAGTATGTTTCATCGAGGTATTTCGCAGACTGTCTTGGAAGTTTGAAGTAGAGGCCGACTCTGACAATCGGTCACTCTTCTTCTGCTCTAGCAGTGGCCGAGTGTCTGTGTATGATTTCCTCGACCCGTCCGCCTGAATATGACGAACAGGTTTCCTATTTCCTGGAGTAGGAAAACGGTATTTTGTGAAATCAAGGGCAGGTGGCTCCCACTTCCTAGATTTAGGATGAGGGGTCGCCTCTCGCCCTTGAACTGGTTTCCTCTTCAGTGAAGTGGAAAGTTTCTTAGCCGACTACTCCTTGTCCAGAGCAGGCGACTTCTTGTTGATCAACTCTTGAATTTCTCCCTTGAAGTCCCTCATGAAGGTCATGAGTTCGTTCCTTGTGATGGGAGCAGACCCATCAGTCGGCTGCTGCCGAACAGGCGGTGCGCCTGCTGGCTCACTTCCAGTTTGAAGATGTTCCCGTTCCCTCCTTTCGGTATGACGGGTACGTCGGGCCCTTAGGGTCCCGTCTGAAGCTGTGTGAGCTTCAACTTCAAATTCATTCTCAGTATCGTGGTCCGACTGAACTTGAGGGTCGTCTAGGGGACGCCTCTCTTCAGGAGTCGGTACAAATGTGGATGCCATCTCAGAAGTACTCTCCCCACAGACGGCGCCAAATGTTTCGGGGTTTTCTGATGTCCTGCGGGAGATTTACAATTCCGAGACTGGAACCGGACGCCTGTACCTGCAAAACAAACGGATGCTCCGGATGATTGGAGATCCGCCTCCGACGGTCAAGTTAGTGCTTGATTAAGGAGTAATTAATGCGGAAATTAAAGTGATTGGGTCTCTCTAGGTGAGAGTGTTTAATGTGTGTAATCTGCTTTTTTAGCATGTTATCTCCCTTAATGAGGATTAAGGGAGGTATTTATAACCTCGAGAAACGTGCCAATCTAGGTTTAGGTTAACCTTGGGCTGATTGGGCTTCCCTCGAAAGTTGGGCCTAGGTGACCGGTTATCCCAGGTGTCATGGGAAGGACACGTGTCGTGTCGTAATTGGTCCAAGGTGGACGGATCATTGCTTGACACGTGGCAGGCTCCTATTGGCCCATGTGACGGACACATGGCGGAACCTGATTGGTCCACTTGTCAGATGGTGATTGGTGGGAGCAAAATCCCCTAATCAGTATCCACTACTACATCACATAGTTTACCACTGTCGGACACCATTGGTACACATCTTTGTAGTTATTCAAGGCTCGATTGTACTCTGCCTCTGTGGTAGCTTGGAGGATCTTCCACCACTTACCATTTACCAATCTCTCTGCTGAATCTATATTCTTATTGAAAAAGTTGTAAGCTTTGACTTTCACACAGTTGTTGATGTGCCATGTGCACGGTAAATGATTCAATTCTGAAAACAGCTCCGCTATAGGGACAAAGAAACCTCCCTTACAATCACTGACGATGGCTGATGGCTGAACATTAGGGCCGATGTAGTTTCTCAACTTCTCCAACACCCAATAATTACTCGCAGCCGCCTCATCCTTGATAACTGCATAACCAATAAGAAAGTTCTGGTTCGTTGGAGCCATCCCAATCATCTCAACTAGTGAGAACTTGTACTTGTTTGTCTTGTATGTTGAATCGATCAAAATCACAGATGGCCAAGACTTGATCATATCAGCACAATCAGGATGCACAAGGAATAAATAAGTCATCTCCACTGTCTCTTCATCTGAATTAAACCAAACAAATAACCACGTGCTTGTGCCTGGTGTAGAATGTATAGGGTTCTGACCATTCAAACCTCAGTTTCTGTCTGGCGTTGTAGATGTGTCTTCGGTTTGACTGGTCATCAGGAAATTTCTCTAACACAGATGCTAATAGCTTCACTTGAGCATCACTCATTTCTTTGAAAACTAGTTTTGCAGCAGGACTTAGGCCGCCTAACTGTCGATGATCTACTTCATATACTATCATCTCATGGTTGTGATACCCCCATTTAGAGTAACCCTTCACTTCCCAACCGTCACGACTTTGGTATTGTCGAATCTTTACTTTGAACTCACACCAACAACCTTTCCGCTTTGTATCAAACCGAATCGCTGTACTGAAATCTCGTTCCTCCCTTTTGCGATAACGATCGCATCTCAAAATGCGATCCATTCTACCATCCCGTTGAGATTCATGAGTTGCTACTACTAAATAAAAACCAGATCTAATTGCAACCTGTTTTGCATTCGCTTGTTAAGTATCTTCGAAGGGACCATTATGTACAAAAATCCCACTATAATCATTTCCGTCTCCACCATAATCCTGCAACAATGACATATTATTTTTAAATACATATAATTATATAAATATTAAATTCATACATTTAACACAAAATTAATACATAAGTAATTTCAAAAAAATTTATTTGTAAATTCATTTCTATATTTAACGCATAATACATTTAAATTCTAAATTTACACATAATTAACACATAATTATATATAAAAGTATTCATACACGTACAAAATTAAAACATATATATTTTTTTTTGAAATTATTAGCACATATTTAATTTACACATACAAAATTAAAACATAATTTTATTAACACATATTGAAAACATAATTTCAATTTAAAACATAATGTTGTTTTTTTTTTTTTTGAAATTATTAATACATATTTAAAACATAAATTTACACATACAAAATTAAAACATAATTTTTTTTTTTGAAATTTAATTTATCAAAGTTAAAAAAAAATAAATAAAAAAATATTTAAATTAAATTTTTAAAAAAAAATTAAGAAATGTTGCTGTGGCGCCTGGCCGGGACGCCGCCATCGTGGCTGTGGCGTTCTAGCCAGACGCCACTACCATGGTTGCGGCATCCTGGTCAGGCGCCACCGCCACGGTCGCGGCGGTCAGGCCATACGCTGGCCAACATTTCGTAATTTTTTACCGCAAAGTACCTCGCTTTCCCGCGATGATGACGACTCTCCAATGTCCCTCGGCGATCCCTGCTCCACATTTTTCATGAGAGAATTACGTTTTGGGTAAAAATTAGAAAAAGGGCAAAAGCGTCAAAGTAAAAATTATTGTGGACTTTATGTAGAGATTTGTAGGCGATATTTAACAAATCCCAAAACTTAACCATACATTCAAAACAGAAAACTTAAACTTACTTAACCATACATTCAAAACAGGCTACATAATTTTGATAAAATAATTAAACTCACATAATTATTATACAAATAAGCTAAAAAAACAATTAAATAAACACCACCAATCAGAACACTAGCTTACTCAAAACACAGGGGAAGGTCCGCAAGGATCATAAACAATGGAAAATCATGTGATCAGCACCATATATTTTAGGGGGTATCATACTTATGGCATTTGAAGATCAAACACGTTTGAAACAAAGCTCATTTGTAAAGAATACCAACAAGTACTCTCGCCAAGTTGCCAGAAAATAAGAAACAAAAAAATAAGCACAAATAGCAAATCAGATAAACTATCAAACTAGCAAATCTGAGATGACAAATAAACTAGCAGAAACAATAATTTGATCGAAAATTAACCCAAATAGATAGAAAAAATCATATATAAAAATCAAAATTCCCAAGAAGTACTAGTAAATCGAAAATCTAACAAAATATCGAAATTCCCAACAAATAAAACGAAATTCAGATAACAAAATGAAATTCACTACATATATTAAAATAAAATTGACAAGCAAACCACCAAAAACATCAAAACAATGAATTCGAAATACATACCGGAGATTTGCCGAGCAAATGCGAGTAGAAGGAGATCTGGGCGTAATTCACGTGAAGGAGATCTGGGCGTAACGGTGGCCACCGGCCGGTGGCTATGAAAGGTGGGGTGGCGGCCTGAGCGAGTGAGCGTAGAGAGAGAGGGAGGAATTTAGAGTTTTTACTTTTTAGTGAGAGACTGAGATATTGAAAGTGAGTAAGAATTTGTTTTGAAATATTCATTATTTTTTTGTTAAAATATATCTAATTTCACTACTTACCCTTTATATCGGATATCGGATATCCAAAAATTTGAAAACCAATATCCGAATCCGTATCCAATATCCGATTTTTCGGATTGGATATCCGATCTGAAATACAAATTTGTATCGAATATCCTAAAATTCGGATCGGTCGGATCGAATTTTCAGATTTTCGGATTTTCAAATAGTTTTGTACAGGCCTAATATTCATGTTGCCCATGATCTTGATTCTACCTAAAGGGAAGGCTCTGTGATTTACCTTGAAAGGAATTTTTTGCAAATAAGTTGCAAGCTATCTATTCTAACTAATGTTTGAAAGCTTGCTGGTCCTGCATGGGACAAATTTTTAGTATAATTAAAGCATAAAAAACTTGAGCATCAAAAAACGCACCAGAATTAGCTACACTGAAATTTAAAACACTACTAGAAAATATGGATATTCATGGAGACAATGGGATAGACATACAAAGAAACAACAAATTTAGGTGAAATAACAGAGCTCACCAAGCATAATAATAGTGTAAAAGTGGAGAAAAAAAAATATTCCTTCGAGAGTCTATAGAACCACATCCATAAACGCGAAAAGAATATCTATAATTTGTATAAAAAATATCACTCATGAAACTTGAATTACATTGGCGTAGCTCTAGCCTTGTACATGCATATGTATGCCATATGCCAATCACCTGAAATAGAATGATGTTATATTAGATCGGCAGTGGCAACATCAACTACATAAACTGATGAATACTACTCGTATCACCCAAACTATAAAAGACAACAACAAAAAAAATAAAAGGCGGGGTGGTGGGGGTTTGAGAAAAGGAAAAGAGGCGCTTAGAAGTAAACTTCGTAAGAAAGAAGGTCAGTAGACATTTAGCTTACCTCCCCCAGAGAGTTTCACAATGTCTTCTTCTCGTTGGGGAATTGGATTGTCGTCATCATACTCAATCCACTTTCCTGTAAGCAACAAAATCTTTAAGCATTGAAAAATCTAGAATAATACTTCGTATCAGAGATAGCTTAAACATATGTTTTTCAACCACTAACCATTATCTTGCTTCACCCAACCAACATAGTGCCCTGAATCAGCACTTCTACCCTTGTGAGTTAACACAGCAACTAAATCATAAACTCCAGTCAAATGCATCTCCTTCTCAGATGGAATAGCTGCAAAGATAGATTAACATACATTAAGCATGGTCTGATACCAACCTTTAGAGGCAACTAAGTCGTGAAGAAACCTCTAGAGAGACAGACAGAGTGATTATACAAAGTGCATACACATCTTATAATCTGCACTGCTTAAAATATGGCACACTTTTGACTACAGGAAAGGGGATTACCCCTCGGCGTCACTAATTAGACAATTTTTTTTCAATACAGCTCATTTAGGGGAAGAGAGTTGGGGGGGGGGGTCTTTCATTGTCACTTCACAAGTACTCTACCATTATAAGCATGTTACTGTTTAATTTGTCAACAATCACTTCTCTAACTGTCCACACACTGATCATTTAACTATATATCTACCTAATCTCGGTTACTGCTTACTCAACTGCAAATTAAAAAATGATCTGTTATAGAGCACCACATCAAACTTCATCCTAAATATTGAACAAACATGTCATCTCTTTACGAGGATACTAGTACTTTGTTCTATGTTAGACCCTCCCTTCAATACCCTTTTTTAAATAACCAGAAGATTTAGGAGGACTAAACTCAAGACAACAGGAAACTGATTTAATGGTTAATTTCATTATTCTAATTGTTACACAACTCACACCTTCTTGAGAAGTTCCTGTAGACGATTCACCACTCCCATTTGACGAATCCTGTTAGTGAACCCAAAAGACACGATTTTAGAAAATCTCGAGTTGCCAAGAATCACTTGAAAAGTTGAAATTTTAAGTCAATGAATAGTTAAATAACATTTACCTCTGCATCAACCATCTTCACATCATTGTCCTGGGAACTAGAGCTTTTTTCTTTAGGTTTCAGACCTAATTTTTTACCCTCTTCATCTCTAAGAACCTGATAGCAGGACATTGTTGAAATTGGAAAACATGTGAAACTGGTGAAACAAAAAAAAAACAACAATAAACAAATCAGAAATGTATAGGTCATACATACCTGACGAGGAACTTCTAGCTTCTTTTTGAGTTCATCTGAGCACAAATCGAAAATATCCAGCTCTAAAGGATAATCAACTTTCTGCATATCATAAAGGATGAATTAAGTTACAAACTCATCCAAACACATAAAATATTTAGTCTCAAGCCTCTAGATTCCACCTTGACGTTCAAAACCACCCAAAATAAAGTATAAGCAAAATAGAAATTATTAAGAATTACCCTCAAAATCTTTGCTTTCTGATTTGACTCTCTCTTCCAGAAGAAACGGACAAACTGAATGGTCAAATACCTACATCCAGAAACACAGCAGAACAGACATCACAATCTAATGCTGCCACAGGACTGAGAGTGCCTCCACCCTCATAAATCAAGAATCATACACAAGAAGCATCCCTTCCCCAAAGAAAAGAGAGAAATGGTCCAGTCGTAAATAAACACTCCAGATTTGCATTCATAATAAAGTACAATTTATAATAACTACTAACCAGGATTTTTATTTCAATTTTCCATTTCAGGTGAGAAAATAACAAAGTTACCTGGGTAGACCACTGATACGTGACTCCTTCAAGTAGAGTGCACTATGGCCCAATGCAGGCGAGTTTTTCTCGAGTTCAGATTTCAAACCCTGTAAGAATGACAACCAGGAATTTCTGCTAAATTTAGGGACCAAAATCCAACTGCTTATTACTTGATAACATGAAGAAAGAAAGAAAGAAAGAGAAAAAGAAAAAAAGGCACCACCAGTCGGTAATTTCATGCAAATAGAATTTGTATAAACAGAGAGTACAAGGTCTGTTCTTGCATTCAAGGATAACAGAAATAGTAGACAATGTGATGCACTAACATAGAAAAATTAAAAAGATTGATTTAGGGATACATGTACAGTTAGATTAGCAATAACAGAAAATATCAATAACACTAGTGAAAACAGCAACCATGGGAGGTTCACAATAACAGGGAGCTACAACATGAACTGAAGCTCACTGTCAAAGTTTCAAAATACTATGGCTCTTACTTCATATGGAAAAATGAAGGAGTGGGGAGCAATAGTGTCACAATAGGTGGAAACACTGATCAACTTCTAGGACGTATCAAAGCAGCAGGCACAAACTTAAACACCAGTCACCACAACTTCTGGGGTTTGGTAAAGTAAAGGTTAGTTTTTCAAATAGAGGTTATAAAAAGTAAATTAAAGTAGAGGTTAGTGTTTCAGATAGAGGTTATAAAAGGTTTTCTTGTGGGTAGTTACTAATTGGAGGACAAGTTTCATAGAGCCTGTTTGGCTAAAGCTTCTGGAAAACAAATTCTACTACCGAAACAAAATTTCCTAGAATCTGTTACTAAATATATCATGAGGGGTTGGCCTGAGTGTTATTGAAAATGGATACTATATGATACTGTTTGTTCCATTGATTTCTTACAACTTTATTAATTATATATACAATTAGTCAATTACACACACTTTAAAAATAATTTTCTTAACTTCAACAACCCTAAATCTAGGTTTACCCCACTGCCAAAGTCATCTGCCATGAAACCACCACTATTTTAATATTCCCTCCGTTCTTTAACATTGCAGCATTTACTTTTTAAGTAAATTTCACAAATATTGCATTGTTTCTTTCTAAGAAAATCCAACATCTCACTTCACACTGTCTAAGAGCCTTATTCACATGGGTCTTGTAAGTAATTTACATGGGTTTTTGTGGATTCTCACACCTTTACCCATTTTACTAATTTTTTTGACTGCCCCCATGTTAACCATAGATAGAAATAAAGGAAATACATTCTTTTTATCTTACTCTTGTAATATTTTATTGTTGCTCTTTCCTCCCAGCTGGGGAGGGGGGACCCACCAGCCAACTTTGGCTCCATAAAAAAAAATACCAAGTTTTAATCAATTAATTGTACCAAGATCACCTCAACAGAAAAATTGAAGAAAAGGCTCTGGACAAAAATAGAACACTTCTTGATGGTATTCAAAAGGGAAAAAAAATTTGGCACACTAAAAAGAAAATTTCTACACCAAAAAATAATTTTTTTAAAAAAATCCTGGCAGGTGATGGAAATAGCTATTAGTAGGCCGGTTTTCCATAAAATATAGAGAGCCATATAAGGTCTAAATTGTTAGTCTGCGATTTTTCATATCTTGTAATGAGCCTACCCAAGGCCATGGTTAGGCTGACGTATGCAAGAAGTAGAAATAAGGGTAATTTAGTTTAGTAATCAGTTAGAAGGAATGAGTTTGCAGGGAATAATTTGGTATGGGTAGAATGCGTGGGAATGCTGTAGTAAGGTGAATAAAAGGGTTGGAGGGGAGTAGAATCATTCAGAAAGTTGTTATTTGATAGTTTGAGAGATTTGAGCCTCTCGAATGCTCAAGACTTGTAGTTATTATTGTCGCAGTTTTTCCTTATGTTCAAAGTTAATCCTTCTTCTGCTTAAGTATTGCTTATTAATCTTCTATTATTTGCTTGCAGTGAACTAAGTTTACATCAATTTTGCAATAATTTTCAGAATTGAGGCGATGGTGGTCATAAGGTTAATTTATGCGGGCAAGCAAGTTTTATGGGTTGTATGTGGGCAAGCAGCACCAGGATAAACAGTTTGAGTTGCTCTAACATGTAGCTTTGATTTCTAGGCCCCTCATATATCACCTAGGCTTCTTACTACCTAGAAACTAAAAGTTACTTCCATGTTTGGTAGTGTTTGGAATTTGATCCAGTTTAAGCTTATCGATGCTAGAAACTCTCCTGGAACAGCTAAAAGCTTTGCGAAACACAGCCATAATTTTTCAACCTTCAAATAACATTCATCAAATTTTAAACTTTATCTTTTATGTGAATCATTCATTTTTGACAATTTGACATACTTAGTTCCTTATAACTCCCTCTGTCCCAATTACACCTCACTTTAACATCCTTTAATGCTAATGTATTAAAGCAAATGTTAGTATGCAAGATATTGTTAGTCTATCTCAATGTATATTTTTCAAAATCAAGATTTAAAATTTTTACTAATATAAATTTAAATTATCGATGGTCAAAATTGTACATTGGTAAGTGTGTCCATTTAAAATGTTGCAAGTAATCTAAGACATAGGTAGTAGTTGACAGTTGAAAGTTTCTTTCATCACATTTTTCAATGCATAATGGTAGTCAAAATAGAATTTGTGAATAGTGTCAAAAGTTAAAACGTGTCAACAACAAAGAATAAAGAACACAGTGGAGAAAACTGAATAAGGGAAAGACTTCAAACTTACATGCTTTAGCCCCTCATGCAAATGGTTCACTTCATGGGATATGTGACATTTTAGAGCAAAAGTTGTTTCTGTTTCTGTACTTTCTTCACCACTTTCTTGACAATACACCCTAACATCACCATTAAAGAAACATGGACAACACAGTTAGTACCTTCACATACAGTAATATGTACATAAACCACAGGGGCACAAGCTACTACATCATAAATTTCCACCAGAGAACCTAGATCATCATAAAGGAACTCTCATGTATAATGCCACCCTGAGATTAATCTTAACAATAATTTCCAGTACGCTTAAGACTCAAACAGAAACCAGCTGATATAATGGCAAATTGGCAATAGCCAATGAATTTGTCTACCCAGTGAAGTAGGGAGTTAACCAGCCAACCAGACCATGATAGAGACATCTTTCTTCTTCATTGTGCGATAAACATGCATTTATATTGAGCAGGGAACACTTAAAAAAGTGACAAATTATCTGGATATTAATTATTATAACCTAGAGCAGATCACATTGCACTCTCACCTCATCATAGATGTCAACAAGGTGATTGATGAAAAGTCCATCTCTAACATATTTCAAATGACAAATTTACGGTCATTCCTTCATTGTTCAACTCTTGGTCATGAACACACAGTAATTGCCAACAGAAAACTTAAGATAGCAGAAGAAATAGTACAAGTATGACGCAAAACAAAAGTCTTAGTACTAGCAAGACTCTTGGGAGTAGGTGCCTTATGAAAAAAACAGAAAGGAGACAACTGCACAGCATAAATGATTGAAAAGAGACATAAAGCATATAAATAGCAAATATTTTACCTGCTAGCAAGCTCAATGCCGAATAGACGCTTCACAGCACTGACATTCTCACTACATATGAAATAAAGAGCATAAGAATGACTAAACTAAACTAAACTAAATTCTGAATGGTGATGTGAAGATTAAAGCTAGAAATTATAAGTACATTTATTGTAATTGCAAGGCAAATAAACCAAGTAGAAATTTATACAGTTGGGTCCTTGGGGACTGTATCACTCCACAGAAAAAGAGCAAATGCAAAGGGGCTATCCCAATGCCTCCTCGATTTAAAATAGATATAAAAACTATAACAATAACAATAACAATAATAATAACAACATGGGAGAAGTATCTTGCTTGAAATCCACATGCTTAATTGAATAGTCAGCTTTGATCGACACTTGGCTTTGAAACGTTTTTATGCGCTCAAGCAGTCAAATGAAAGGCTGCTCATTGGCTTTTTAGTTTTGACAGTTTTGCCTAAAAGTTCGTTACTTTACATATAAATAGATCACAACAACAGCTAATTTACTAAACAATGTTATAAGCAAATAATACTACTCGCTGATACAAACAGCCAATACCAACAATTAACACTTCAGACTTATCATACAAGCCAAATGAACCAAACAACTGATTGCAAACAAGGCCTGGATCAATCATCCACTAAATTCTATTTTTATTCACTTTTAACAAAACCCCTCTAGCCGTACTATAATTTTTTTCACTACCCCTATAAACATAACACTATTCCCATCACCTTCTATTTTTATTCAACTTTAATAAACAATACCTCACAATAATCCCTCTTATTAAAAAAAAATTCCTGAAGAAATGGGTTCTTTAATAAGGAATGGAAGGAGTATCAGATATATTATTAGCTCAAAGAGACAATTTATGAATTAAATCAGCCACATCACCCATTAATAACAGTTTATGTCTCAATTCAGCAGCAAACAGTAGAGAGAGTACTAAAGCACTAATACACATTTAGTACCGACAAAAGTTCAACAAAAAGGAATGGAGAAACATACTGAAATTATGACACTGGTGTAATAGATAGGACCAGATTAAAAATAAAAAGGCAACAGAATAAAAAAAAAAAAAAAATTAGGGGAAACTGGAGAAGATTGATACATAAATGCAGTTTAATCATCAATTTGGGTATAACAATCCAGACCTTGTAAATTAGACACTCCAAAACTAAGCATCTTTACAAAAAACTCCAAAAAATTTTCTAAATGGTCTCATATATCTATGAGTTTGCTTCTCTCCCCAGCCCACCCCCCACCCACTAATTTATTCTTTACTCATTCTCCAAGCTTTCCGTAACAGAATTATTAATGATTCACCATAGTGCCTTTCCCACTAAGCCAGGTTCGCTACAACTGGCAGCCAGGAACAGGATTAACCAATGAGGCAATGCAAAGAGGACAAATCTAGCACAGTGAATGTGACAGCTGTTGTTTAAGAAGAAGAAATCAGCTACCTATTAGATGACGTAAGAGACTGAGAGAGTGTGTACAAAAGCTGTGTCCAGCATTCCTCTGCATCCTGAGATTTCATCATTGTAGAATGTTAGTAGAAGCACATTTAGAGCTGTAAGAACGTACCATATAAAGATAGACAGCAGCTAGGATTTAACCTGTTGCATAAAAGAACCATTGTGCAGCTGGCCAAACTGAGGGAACTTTTTACGCAATACCTGCATGCATCAAAGAATCTAGCTGTCATGTCACAAGAACATCAGCACAAAACACTGTATGTAGTTAACCTTTGTCTAATTTCCACACTCCACATATACACTGGAAACATTAAAAGTACTTCATTATCCTACTTTTTCTTAGTTACCTTAGCCTACAGTCAGATAGATCCCACATATCTAGAACATTTTGTTACCAAAATTGGGTTGTAGAAGAAACAGATAAAAGTATATCAGAGTCTTTTACTTGGACAGATATTAAGCTACAACTTTTTTTACAGAAAGCCCTGAACAATGCAAGAGAAGACTCCAGTAAAAAGAAATCAACATCCTACATCTGGTAGATCAGGTACCAGAAGATTTCACGATCCTCAATATTTAAGGAATGATATAAATTATCACTCTCAAAGAATTCATGATATCAATACAGAACATAATATGTATAGAATTATTTTATGATACAAAGTGATGTGTGCACACCATCCAGAATTGCATAGGTGCCACTGGCTTGACATTTTTATCAAGCTCGTTGAATAAATCTTTGGTTGCAACAGTCAAAAGATGTGAAGTTTGATCTAGTTCATTAGTCCGGCCAGACTGTGAATACCTGCTCAACAAGTGTAAGCAAATGTATTGGTGATGGAAACAAGAATCACACATAATTTTAAATAAATCCCAAGTAAAATCATCACTTGAGAAGGAAAACTCACTCCAATAGTGCAGACTTCAGCTCAGGAACTGAATGCAGGCATTGAACTGTGGAGTTCATGTAACATGTATTTCCTAAGTTGAAAAGACCAGCAGAATGCCCCTGCAAACATAAGATATCAAATGAAAAGGTCAATTATTATTTATATTATAGAGTACAGATATTTATGTCCTTCATTTATCATTTATGAAGTACTTCCTCCACTCCATTTTACTTGCAACACTAAGAGTATCACGCTTGTCAATGCACAATTAGAACTGTTAATATCTTTGGTTGCGTTTTGTTAAAAAATTGAATTGAGACGAATCCAACAAGATCCCACATGACTATATTTTTATATATCAATGACGTAATATGGTAATAAGATAGAGTATCAATAGTGCCAACATCCTAATATTGCAAGTAAATGGAGTGGAGGAAGTATTGTTTTAGTGATAGCAAATAGAAGTACAAGTTTCTGGACAGATTAAAATTCCTCAAATCTGAAGTACAAAGATGAATTAAGGCAATTTCAAAATACATGATGAAGATTGATTTAATAAACATTGCATAGGACAAGCTACCCACACATTGAATGCTTAAGTATATAAGGAACTTGAGAACATTATTGCCAATTGAAAACTTAGGGCAAGTTATGGTTGTATATCATGAGCAAAAACTTAAAGAGTGATATAAGGGAAAAAAAATTTCTATCTGTTAATGGACTATCAGAAAACCTCTTCAATATACCAATAAACAACTCCTAATAGCACAAAGTCTGGTCACTAATAATGTCAGTGTTTCAAGATATGAAGTGAATGCTAGTTGTATTTGCATATCACTGTTCCAGGGCCAAGCGAAAATAGGAAGAATGGTAGGGGGGAGGGGCAACAACACATGCTTCCCTTTAATTAAAACATTAATTCTTAAGTCCCAAAAGTGCAATAAGTTTAATCTCACAAAATTATTCTTTAGGTGAAACTATTCCTAGCTGTTCATTCCAGCATATATAAAATAACATTTTCTAATGCACGTGAGATTTTGTATTAAAAAAAAAAAAAAAAAAAAAAAAAGGGATAAATTACAAGAATAATACAATGTTTGAGTTATCTCATAATAATTCCATATTAGTAGCTCTTATTCAAAATATGATCCCTACTTGGCAAAATTAAGAGCAAAATAAGTGGAAGGTGCAACTGCTTACATCACATCCTCCTTTCACTCTTCCTACGTGAGAAAAACAAAGGATAGATTTCGGAGAATAAGATAGTGTTACACAGAAACCAATTTCCGGAATGATGATGATCAAACTCAATATCATTCTAAAACAATCCAAAGTTGAGATCAATTAAATACAAGCATTAAATTATGGGAGTATTAGAGAGGACAATGATCTCATATAAGACCTCTAATATGGGTTATCTGAATATATTCAGCTTCCTTTTAAAACATTGGTTTACTTTTTTTTTTTTATTTGAACAAGTAATAATGAGAAAATTAACAGACACCATGGGTAGTGTCACACATGTACAATAGAGGGCAAAAGGTAAAAAAATATAAAAATATAAAACTGTAAAATATAAGAAAACATGCCATCAAAACTACCATAGAGCAATTTATTGACCAAGTACAGCTTAGAACCTAATATGAGTATGCTGCTATATTAACTATGGACCTTCCATATTTTAGCTTAAGTAGTAAACAAACCACTCAAACATAGTATGAGGAGGTTATGAGGAGATTACAAGGAGGTTACTGGTGATGATATAGTTTGAAATCAGTATTTCGAATACGAGCATAAATCAGCATTTGACGTCATAACTCCCTTGGGTGTCACTTATCAAATAACCTCAAAGTCCTACATAAACTGATAAACAGAGAGTTGATGACCTTACAAGGCCCCCAAAAGCAAACTCCCTTTGTCCTATAATCGTCCGTAAATTTTCATTTTTCGTCCCTCCCAGTTCAGTTTGACCTACTAACCCCAACATTATTTTAATACAGCTCTCTCTTCACTACCAAAAAAGTTACGGGTCCACTGTCTCTCACATTCAACAAAAAAAATAAATAAATAAAAAAAATAAATAAATAAAAAAAAATATATATATATAGATAACCCACTATCTTTTTCCAAATCTACTTTTTCAAATAAAGTAATACCCCATTATCTCCTATCACATCCACTATCTGATTCAATGTTAATTGATAACATCTCAAGAACTTATCACCTACAATGCTTTGATAGAGAAGAGTTCAAAGTTTCAAACTATTCCAAGACTAACGTATACTTTTGATTGAACATCACATCCATGCCAAATCCATTAACAAATTATAAAACCACAAAACAGTGGCAAATGGTGTCCCCAAATCCGCGTGTTACAGTCCACATGCTTTTACTGATTTGTTTATGTGGGTGGCTGGAAAGATGGAAAGGGAGCAGCTACGTCTCTTTGCGTCATTAGCCTGGCAGCGTGGCACTGCCGGAATAAAGCCTTTTTTGAGAATGCTGATGGGCTTGATGCAGTAGGAATTGCAGTGGGTTTTGCAAAACTGAATGAGGACTTTTTCACAATAAGAAGGTTGGGGTGCAGTGTCACTCTATTCCTGAGCATTTGGCAGCAAGGTGGTATCCTCCCCCTCCACAACATATAAAGGTAAATGTACATGCTCATAATTTGGATGGTGTGGGTGTGGGCCTGGGAGTGGCAACTATGACGAGCATTGCTCTCTTCTCATGGCTGCTGTAAAGAGGTTGAATGTGTGGTGGTCAGTTGATCTGGCAGAAGCAGGGGCTGCAAAATATGGGGTAGAGTTGTGGGCTACAACAAGGTGGTGTTAGAATGTGTCGATGTGATGCTTTGAAAGTTGCTAGAAGCATTCGAGCAAGAGAAGAGGGTGTTGCACCTATTTTCCTTTTCTATGAGAATAGATTTAGAGTATGTAATTCTTTTACTTCCTTTAAGTGTAATCATGTAAAAATTTTCATTTAATTGCTAGACGGGAAACCGGAGACAACGTTGAGCGTATTTGTATGAACTCATTCCCCTAAATCCCCGCAATCTTTCAAAAATCTTTCATATACCACTTTTCACCAACAAGTTATAATGCCAATACTAGCAGGACAGAAATTGTAGTTACTTAAGAGTACGAGACAACTATCAAAAAGGGAAAAAAAACAGCATAAAATCCATCCAACAATTATTAGCCATCCAACAATTTAACCCATATACAGAACCTCAAATTCAAGTTTCATATTCAAGAATTAAATTAAGAAAACATACCACAGCGGCCACTTGTTCTTCCTCAGGCAAATCCTCTACAAAAATTGGTCCTTTCTCAGGAGCTTTTACTATCTCATCTGCAGTTCCCATCATCATTAATCTTTGACCCTAAAAAATTAAGAAGGAAATTGAGCAATAATTCCAACACGGTGATCCAAAAAAAATCTAAAAAATGTTTGCAACAAAAGAAAGATGACCAACCTCTTTTACTCCGACATTTGCCCATTCAGCATCATCCTAATTTCAGGCAAAACAAGTTAGCTGACTATTCTCACAAACAAAAAAGACTTGGAACATCCAATATTTTCACCGAAATTTCACATACTATCACCAATCAAAACACAGGAATCTCATAACATTGAATCAAGCGCGAAACATGGTGAGAAGTGAGCCCATCATCTCATTACCTTCAATAAACCACCTTTTGCCATAATTTTCTGCCTTTCAGGTGGCACTCCAGTTAGATCATACAATTGAACCTTGAAAACATAAGGGGGTTGACTAGTGTCAATTTCCACCTCTGGAAACATCTTTTTTCCCCATTTCACACTCACTGCAAAATCAAATTGGAATGAATAAAAGGATTAAACCATAAAAACAATAAATATCCTAAAATGGCTCAATAAAACAATCCTAAATGTGTAAATATTGCCAAATCAAAAATCATATTTACAATTCACTGTTTTAATACTACATCAAACATAAAAGAATAACGAAAACAATATAACTGGTTAACAATTAAGACCCAGGCATTTTGATTTTAATTCAAAATTTGAAAGTTGTTTACTCTGCAGCAATTGTCAGCTTTAAATTACAATTAATTCAAATTTTAGGGTTATTGGGAATCGATCGAAAAACACAATTTCCCAAAAATTCAATGGTAAAATTCAAATTTTCAATTCATTCTTGGTGCAGCACCCTGACAAATAGTATTAACAAACTGTTCAAGCTGAAACAATTCGATAATATCAAGAAACCTAAGCTTGCAGATTACTCGTCCTAAATCAAACTGAAAACGGCAATCCAACAATAATCTCGAAACTAGGAAGCAAGAGAGAATAGAGAAGAGAAAATCGCAAAACCTCGTAGTGTTTGGGCGCCATTGTTGCCTGAATCCGCCATTGACGAAGCTTGCGCGCAGAAATGAGCGAGGCGGAGAAAGAAGGAAGAAGACGGAAGGTACGAAAGGCGAGAAGGTGAGTTAAGTAGTCGAATGTGCTGAGTTTTTTATCAAAGAAATGAGAGAGAGAATAGAAGGAAACTTGTGAAACGGGGTTTCACTGATTATTTTCAATTTTTATGGTTAACTTAATAGGGTCACTGTTTGCGATTAGAGCGATTTCCAAGAAAAATGTCAATTTCAAATTTAACATCTCACAAATCGTCTATATACTCGTAGCAGTGGATGTCGGTTAAAGTATTTTTTAGAAATATTATGTGTAATAGTATAAAATAGGACAATGGTCTTATAAGTACTGATACTAGAATTAAGGAATATGGAAGTTTCCTTACAAAACTAAAGGCTCTGATGGAGCAATGCACGCGGTGCAGCTACCTTGTCATTTATTTTTGTTCTTATGCTATATGTCACTTGGAATGATAACTAGTTTAATTTGTGACTCGAGTCTTGCCCTAAAATGTATATATTGTTATTGTGTCTACTTTTTTATTCACAAAGTATTAGCCTCACCCAATACTTGATGAGACGGAACCGATGAACCTCCTTGAGAATCAAGATGGTCAGGTCTTTTAACAATGGCTTCCTTTTTCTCTCAATTAATCTTTATCTTCTTCTTCTTCCTCACAATTCTCTCTCCTTTGCTTAATGGCAGCGTTAATGGCGGCTTCCTACTCTATCAATCGTCCAATTTCTGATCGTATATACATGAATTGTAAACTCTCTAATTAGGTTTTACTGCTATCAATGTTGAGTTTGATTACTTGTGTTTAAGGCTCATTGTGAGATTCAGGTTAAAAGTTGACGATTATATCTAATCTGACCAACAACATCCTAGGTCTAAATAGCTTGCAATTTTAAGATTTTCTAGGCTCAAAATTGGGGGTTCATAATCACCACCGGCAATGTAGTTCCTTCACTTCATCTCTCCTCATTTCACTTTCTCTCTCTAACCTACAACAATGGCGACATGTCTTTAACCGCATCGACACTAACCGCCAAGCCTCGCAGTGGCAGAGCTCTCGATGCTCGCAGGGTAAAAGCGAAATAGTACTTTGTGTAAACAAGCATTGTGTTGCTCCTTTGTAGTTTTAAGTTTTTTGGGTATTAAATTTTAAGAAAATCATCTAATCTAAGGGGCGTTTGTGTTTCGGAGTTTTTTTTTTTATTTGCAGTGTTCTCCGGGAGAGTTACAGCACCAAGACTGGACCATCGGATGCTCTTACCTGAAACAAACGGAAGCTCTGGTTGTTCGGAGTTCCGGCTCCAACGGTCAAGTTAAGTACTAGGATGAGGAAGTAGGAGGAAAGTAAAAGTAGAAATTAATTTTCTCGATTTTCGAGATAAGAGTAATAAATATTGTAATAATTGATGGATAATGAAAATCTAATCCCACCGTCATAAATGTACAATATTTATATAAGTGTAGGAGAACGTGTCCATAAAGTCATTTTAACCTATTAAATGGGTTGTACTATTTTTACAGCTTCTCGGGATTTGGGCCTAAAGGCCGCCATTTCCCCACTGATGATGAATGTCACGTGTCATGCCCTGGTTGGCTCATTTTGAGCACTGTCCTAGGGGACATGTGTCACCATTTTAGTGGGCCACGTGTTTAGGTTATTTTTGCCCTAAATAGTTTGGTTAACATAGGAAATGAAAATTTCCATGAATTTCTAATACATGGGAATTAAATTGCATAATCAAATTCATGGGAATTTCTAAAAATTGTTTGATTTGTAATGAGGGAAGTAAATTCCCATAGGAATTTCAACTTACCTAGAGGGGACTAGGTAAGTAAGTTCCTACATTTTGTGGGAATTGAAAATTCTTAGGAAGTTCTACTTCTCATTTCACCAAATTTCATTCAACCAAACAACTTACTCATTTTGCATTCCCTAAGAACTCCCAATTTCCATTTTTTTTTTATGTAAACCAAACAATACCTAAGATTCTGTTGGAAGTTCTGATATAAAAACAAGAGAGAGAGCTTAGAAAACAAAGGAGAGGAAAAAGTCCCACGTTGGTTGAGGAAGAGTGTTTTTATTTGTTTATATATTATAGTACTTTAGTACTACTTAGTTGAGCAAGTGGAAGGTAGGTGTTATACCCCACACACTCACACGCGCGTGCACTGAGCCAAGCCGGGTCGGGTCGGGCTCAGGACTCGTGGACTTTGGGGTCTTAGAGAATGCGATGCGTGGGCGTGGGTGGGCTGTAGGCCCTCTATCTTTTTGGAGAAATTTATTTCCTTTTGATCTTATTTTGGAATATTGTAATCAGTTACAATATTCATTTCCGTTTGACTATTCCGTTAAATTGTTGAACCTGTTGATAAGGATAATTTGTCCGAAACTGATGTTAAGTTTGTGAAGGATGATTTGTCTGAAACTGATGTTAAGTTTGCTAAGGATGATATAACCTATAAGGGCATGTTGCTGCATTATATGTTGAATAATTTGTTGGATATTTACATGGGTTTATCATGCTAAGGATATTTGGGATGCTTTAGAGAAAAAATATGGGACTGATGATGCTGGTACTAAAAGTGGTTAAGTTTTCAAGCTGTGGATGATAAGCCTATTATTGATAAGATTCATGCTTATGAGAAAGTGTGTATTAATATGCCTGCAGGGTCCGTCTATTTGTGATATTACCCTTACCATTGTTCTGATTGAGAAACTCCCTCCCCCTTGGAAGGTTTTTCGTAACCAATTGATGATAAAAAAGAAACACCTAACCCTAGAGGAGCTTGTAGGACACCTCAAAATTGAGGAGGAGAACCGTATTAAAGACAAAGGTCATTCGGGTTTCCCTTCTTCTTCTTCTACCAAAGCCAATCTTGTTGAACTCAAACCAAACAACAAGTCCAAAGCTAAAAACAGTTCTCTTAAACTTAAAAGGAAAGTTCTAAAGTATAAGTTTAAGGGTACCTGTTTTAAGTGTGGTATGACTGGTCACAAGGCTAAGGATTGCAAGGTCAAGAAGAAAAATGGGCACAATCAAGCAGAAATCTTATTGAGGATTCTAACATTATTATTGTTGTTGTTGATTAGGGGATTTTCTCCCGCCACGTAGACGAATAGAACTCTGCCACGTGTCCACCACGTGGACCAACCAGAGCTCGCCACGTGTCACCTCGTGAGAGGTCCTAGGTGGACCAATCAGACCACGACACGTGGTAGGCAGATTGCCTACTAGGAAAGTGGTCTTTAAGGGCCCAAATGCCTACCCAGTTAGTCCTGGGTTTTTGAAAACCTAGTATTGGGCACATATTTCCAGACCCTATAAAAGGAAGATGTTCTCTCTGAGGAACATTATTCAAAAATCATTAAACACACGCGTACAATACTTGTTGAGCATTAACTCCAGCTTTAATTGCGCTAATTGAGAGCTAAGGCTCGGATATTTGAGACTGTCTCAGGCAGTCGGATGATCACTCCCCTTCTGAGAGGAGCCTGATCCCCTTTACTTTCCGCACTTTTTACATCCGAACACGTTCTAACTTGATCGTCGGAGGCGGAACTCCCACCCACAGGAGTCTCCGTTGTTTTGCTGGTACAGGCGTCCAGAGGTCAGTCTTGGTGTTGTAACTCTCCCGCAGGACATCCAAAAAACCCCGAAACATTTGGCGCCGTATGTGGGGAGAGTACTTCTAAGATGACTTCGCAAGAGCATGTACCGCCTCTTAATGAGAAATGGCCTATGGCCGATGTCCAGGTCTATACAGACTAGGATACAGAAGACGACTGTGAGGTCGACTCACACACGGCCCCTAATGGGTCCCTAAGAACTCGGCACATCCGTCCCCTCGAAAGGAAGGAACGGACTGTCGAACAGGCGGCCCCTAGTGAACCAGTCGGCCATTCGACTGGTCAACGCCAGGCGGCCGAAGGCTCCGTCCCCATCACCAAAAACGAGCTCGTGACCCTCATGACAAGTTTCAAAGGGGAGATTAAGGACCTGATCGATAAAAGGACGGCTGTCCTTACCAAGGAACAGTCGGCCAAAAAGCCCTATCATTCTAGGAGAAATAAGCCGGTCAAAGACCGAGAGGCCACTCCTTACCCTAAACCAAGGGAGGGGCCGAAGCCCTTTGTTTGGGGTAATTTAACCCCAGCCACGTGGCCCAATGGCAGCGCGACACGTGGCATCTCGCCATTGGTCAGCAGGGCTCCAATCCCCTGCTGACACGTGTCCTAGGAACCCTAATTGGGGAACCAATGTTCCCCACTATAAATAGTGGGAGAATCCTCATTAATGGGGCATTCAATTCCTTCCAATTCAATACTATCATAAATACATTTTACACTAAAACCGAGCAATCTTAATTGCGGATTTCTCCCATTACGCGAGAAGTAATTACCCTTCTTACGCACTTTCTTCCTCCCGTACATCACTGACTTGATCGTCGGAGGCGGAGCTCCACCCAACCGGAGTCTTCGTGGTTTTGCAGGTACAGGCGGTCGAAGGGCATTCTTGGAATTGTAACTCTCCCGCAGGACACATAAAAAAACCCCGAAACATTTGGCGCCGTCTGTGGGGAGAGTACTTCTGAGATGGCTTCTAACCCTGTACCACCAGATCAGGACAGGCGACCATCGGCTGAGCCTGAGGTCCAGACGGACCATGACAGCGGTGATAAGTACGAACTCAACACCTATGTGGCCCCAGACGGGTCCTTCAGAACAAAGCACACCCGTTCTAAGGATAAGAAGAAACGGGAAAGCATCCAAGCTGCTCCAAGCAACCCAGCCGACAACACGGTTGGGGCTGCCCAGGCGGTAGAGGATTCTGGTCCCGTAACTCGGAACGAACTCATGACTTTCATGAATAGTTTCAAGGGCGAGATCCAGAACCTCATCCGGTCAGCTACTCCCAAGAAGAGCCAGCCGACCAAGAAGCCTTCTTCTAGCAAGAAGGCTATTAAAGACCAAGTCCCTACCCTTCATCCAAAGCCGAAGGAGGGGGAAGGCCTTCGGTTCGATCAAAATCGGTTCCGCTTCCCGCAAGCAGAGCCCAGAAAACCCATCCGGCACTTGCAGCCGGATGGTTCCAAAAAGGTGTTTTCTGACGCCCGGATGTTTCTCCAAGAGAAGAGAAGTC